TTTGAAGCACTGGCTCCCCGTCCTCCTTTTGATGCCTGTATCTGCATCCTCAGTGCCAGAGGAACCAGAAAGCCACGAAGAGGTAGAAGAACTGGAGTTGTTTATGCCATGTAGAACTGCTGTAGTCTCCCTCTGTTATATCTCTTCATGTCCCTTGCCTCTCTGTTTCCATCCCTCCCACCTTGGACTATTCTATTTCCTCAACCATTTACACACGTCTCCAAGCATCTTGTCTCCAAGACAGTCCAAAGATTCCTTCCACAAATGCCTTCCCAGAGCACAACTATCACCATGCACCCTCTGTTTTGCTGGTTCCCTGAAACCAGATGAAGAAAATTCCCTGGCTTGGTATTTAAGGGTTTTTATAACATGGGTAAGAAATTAAATGTAAGAAATTAAAACAACATGAAAGCATATAAAGTTAAAAGGGGGTGTTCCCGTCTATTCCTCTACCCCCTCTCCCCGAAGCAGCCATCCCAACAATTTGCCACTCATGTTTCTAGCCTTATTTCTTCAGGACTTCCTGTACCTCTCCAGGGCCCTAGCTAAACAAGTACCCCTGCCAACTCTACATATTTTTCCTTGCTTTCTTGTCCCCAAGCCTTTACTCATAATATTCTTTAAACCTGGAATGTAATAGAATGTTCCTCCCTCCATCTTTGTCCAAATTCTACCAATCCTTTGAGCCCTGACTTCTGTGTCATTTGTGTTACTGTGTCTTGTTTTGTAATGCTTTTCCCAATCCATTAATCAAAGTCCCTGCCTTCTGCTTTGACTTCCCATACTAGCTCCTGCATATAGCACCTGTTACTTTATTCTCTATCTTTGGGTACCAAGGTAGCCTCTGCTATTTAAACATGAGCTCCCAGAGGTAGAGACCATTTCTCAGTTTCTGGTGCCCCTATAACACCTAACCTGGGACCTTCCGTGCACAGAGTGGGGATTCAACAAGTTCTCAGGAGTATGAGAAAAGAGCCTGGAGCCTCCAGGCTGTGGCTTGGGCTTTCAGTTCACCTTTTAAAGTGTCATCACCTGTGATGAGTGGGTTCTATTAGTATCTCAGTTAAAGGACATGCTGAGTCATCAAGGGCTTTTGGAACACTGGTTCCAGGTGATTCTCTGGAACACACAGTCAGAGCATGAAAAAAGTAAACAACAACAAAAACAGCAAAACACCCCTAATCCAACAAGAAAACCAAACTATCGAACTCCTGCTATTTTAAAGATTCTTTTCAAAATGTGAAGCTCAACAATCCCTCTCAACAATCCCTCCCTCCCATGAAAGTGAAACAGACATTTAACTTCCAAAAAAACAAGAAGCCCCAAAGCCCCTAACCTTCCTCCTTCTGCCTTTGCAGTCTGCTTGTACAATGACTGTGTGGGGCTCTCTAGCGAACCATAAGTTTGGTTTCATTTTCTTTCAACACAAGAAATTTGAAAGAAGTCATTTTCGCTGTGAAGTGGGGGTGAAGGGAACAAGGAAGAGGGTCATCAGAGGGGAGTTTCACAACAGTCTGAATGGAGGATGTCAAATTTACTTGCTTTCTGCTAAAAGCAGCCCAAAGGATGGTTAATAGAAATTGACAATATCTACATAGGGCAGAAACCCTTCCAAAACCACATGCTTATTATTTTGTATTTGGCTTAGTTTACACAAGCTTCTTGTATAAAACAATGCATTAATAAAAGCCTAATCAGCTCTTAGGATCTTAAACATTATAACAAACTATCCCATTACCTGTTGCTGTGCAGCATTGATTCATCCACAGCAACTTTCATCCTATCTGTAGTTTTGCCAAAAAAATAAAATCAATTCGCCATCAGCCCATCTTCCAAATGGTTAGATCATTATCAATCCATTTGTGAACCTACTCCCATTTAAAGTTATTGCTAGAGCTCTATCCAATGACAGTTAAAACAACTCAAAAACACTTTCAACTATGAGGCTTTTCTCCAAAACTCTTTTACGTCGTTTGTACTTGGACTTTACAAACAATTTCCATTATTTTTTCAGTGATTTTCTATTCAAGTAAACTTAATTCATTCTCCAAACAAAACTACAGTCTGTCTTGATAGTAGTATCAAGGGAGGAGAAGGGTTACTGAAAAAGTTGACTATAATTATGAGTTAGCAGAGAGATTATGAGATGCTGTGGGGAAGAAGAGTTATGAGAAGGGAGATGGTGTGGGCAAGAGAAAATAGAAACAGAAAAGGTCTGGCACACAGCAAGGGGTGGGGCAGTGATATCTGAGGCCACTTCTACATGGGCATAATGGTGCGTGTCTTTGGAGAAGGCCAGTAAACAGTTCATGAGCACGGGGTTCTAATATGGGTACTGACCATGACCTTCCATGTCAAGCTCTGTTCTCTATAGTCAACAATGCCAACTGTTGCCTGCCCAGGGGAAGCACTACTCCCAGAAGAGCCTCATCAGCCACCCACAGACCTGGGGGCCATCCTCACCATTACTGGCTACATCCACTAGTCACCAAGCCCTGCCCACTCTCCCTCCTAAATGCTTCTGATTCCCTCATCTCTCTCTCATCACTTCCATCCTCTGGCCTGGACTACTATACTATAATGGCCTTCTAACTAGTCATGCAATCTGTTCTGCACATGATACTCCCCCTGTTTTCCTAGCTTCTCAAATCCCCACATCCCAACCATCCTCTCCTTTTCACTTTCTAAAATGTTCCTTTCCACCACAAAGGCCCTGAATGCTATTCAAATAATTCCTTTTGCCTGAAATATTCCTTCCAGTCACACTCCTACCCCAATAACCCCTGTTGGATCTTTCTGATCTTAACTTGGGGCAGGGTTCCCTGGTATGTGCCCCAACAGTAACACAGAGGTGCACTTTTGTAATTAATTATTCAAAGCTCTCCTCTCTGTCAGTCTCTAAGTCTGAGATCAGAGATTGTGTTTGTCCTTGTATGTTCTTGTATAATATGGGGGTAAAACAAGAACCTATAGAATAAGGATGAGATGAGTTAATTCAAGCAGACAACTGTGAACAGTACCTGACATATATAAGGACTATGTAAGCTATAGCCATAATAGTAATAATTATTGACAGTACCTAGAACAAAGTGTGGAATCAATAAATATACATTGAATGAATGAAGGAATGAATAAATTGATGGATGAACTAATGAATTTACCAATGCAGAGGGTCTCCTTTTTTTCAAACCAGCTGTAACCCATAACAGAGTATAGGAATGCTACATGCAAAACAATCACAGAGAGGAATAACTACTTTCTCTGCCTACTGCCAACATGATAAATGGTAAAAATAGCATTTTTGGTTTCCTTTGATTTTGGATTTATTCTACTCTGTTGTTAAATAAATACTCAAAGCAAGGAGACTTAGAATTAAGAGACAAAGGGATATAATATCACAAGGTATATTTCCAGGCTTCTTGATCTTGTCTTCAATAACTAAAACGTGTCCTTCTTAATGAGTGCCATACGCTCATTATTAACAAGCTAAATCCTTTAGAAAACCATGCATGGCAGGTAGCCCATCCCAACATTTATACAGAGATTTTTTTTCTTTTTTTTTTTTAATGTTTATTTTTTTGAGAGAAAGACAGAGAGAGAGACAGAGCACAAGCAGGGTAGGGGCAGAGATAGAGTGGGACACAGAATCCAAAATAGGCTCCAGGCTCTGAGCTGTCAGCTCAGAGCCCAAAGGAGGGATGGGGGGGGGGGTCTCGAACTCACAAACCATGAGCGACCTGAGTCGCTTAGTGGACTTTGCCACCCAGGGGCTCCTATACAGAGATTTTCAAATTGTATTGCCAAAAGGGGAAGCTTTTCACCCCTTTGTTCTGGTATATTCCATGTTTCAGATTTCCAATGTTTTCAAGAGAAAGACATCAATCACATAATGATATGTTGCACTCTACTGGTCTAACAGAAAGAGAAAATAGCACAAACCAGCCTGGGCCTCTAGCATGGTTCTGTAGTTGCAGAACTGACATACTGATCATGGCACCTGGGTGGCTCAGTTGGCTAAGTGTCTGACTTCAGCTCAGGTCATGATCTTACAGTTTGTGGGTTCGAGCCCTGCATCAGGTTCTGTGCTGACAGCATGGAGCGGGGAGCCTGCTTTGGATTCTATGTCTCCCTCTCTCTCTGCCCAGTCCCACCCCCCACCACTTGTACTCTGTCTCTCTTTTTCTCAAAAATAAATAAACATTAAAAAATATTTTAAAAACACTGACATACCAATCAAAAACTACAAGTTGGGGGAAGTGCCTCCTCGTTGGTCCAACTCTGTCAAATCCTACTCTCTGACAAAGTTTTGTTTGTTTATCGTCCATTAAGGCAGACTGTAATAATATTGTTAAATTATTTTGCTGCAAAGAGCTTTTTCAGATTTAGAAATAAATACTGTGTCATCACACTGGCAATGAAACATCTGTCCTTATTCTTTTCTTCCCTTAGAGGAAAGGTTGTGTTTCTTTCTCTAATGTTAACTTTTCTCCTGTTGCCTTGGACCCATCAGTTTCTGCCTCTGAACTCTGAGACAATTCACTCTTTGTATTTAAGTTCAGTCATCAATTTTGGAACTTGTTTAATTTAAGAGTTGTGACAGTTATAAAAAAATAATTCTAACAAATAAATTGCCATTTCTTCATCCTTGCATATTTAAAAATAAAAAAATGGTATGCTGAATTCCATTACGGAGAATGCGGAATGCCAGAACTGTTGTTTTTTTTTTTTTCTTTCCTTTTGAGGATAAACTTCACTTGGGAATTTTTGTGATTTCTGCTGAAGCTGCTGCTAGTACAACTTTAAAACATCAAGAAATATTAGTAATAATAACAATAAGAAGAATTACAGTGATAAACAGAATGATCAAATTATAATCTTTTAATGTTTACTTACCTTTTCTATAGACATATCATTTATGATGGCTTATATTTTCTCATTTAAGCCTATGTTTTCTATATTCAACATAATATAATTTATATTAATAAATAAATATAACTGACCTGTTTTTCTGTGGAGCAAACTAGATCTATACCCAGAAGTGCTGATGTCCTGGACCTGTGTGGGAGCTGAGGATGGCCAAGTCCTCAGACCTTCTGGGTTCCCAGGTGGAAAAGGAGAGCTCTGTGAGCGTACACATTCACTTCTATACATACGGGATGAATGGAGAGCATCCTGAGCTTTCTTCTTTTCCTTCTTTAGCATATTGACCAGAACATCTGGAACTTGATTAAGGATTCAGTGACTCATACTAAGTTGCAATGATCAAAACACTGATGTTTCTGGGGAGCCTGGGTGGTTCAGTCAGTTTAGCATCTGACTTTGGCTCACGTCATGATCTCACTGCTTGCAGGTTTGAGCCCATGTTGGGCCTCTGTGCTAACAGCTCAGAGCCTGGAGCCTGTTTCAGATTCTGTGTCTCTCCCTCTCTCTGTGCCCCTCCCCTGCTCACCCTCTGTCTCTCTCTCTCAAATATAAATAAACATTTAAAAAAAAACCACTAATGTCTCAACTGAGGTTAATATTCCCAATAATATTTGCTATTTGGCATGTGGTAAAGAGACCACTAAAGGAAGACTTCAACTTCCTTAAGTTACTTATCCAGTTAAAGTTGGTTTAGGAAGCTACTGGTCTTTCAATAAGGCACCGTTACATGAAAAATTAGCAATCCCAAAGGTGTTTAAAATGTTCTGAGTTTAAACCTGTAATGACTTAAAATTTTTATGAAAGGGTTTATAAAAGATAAAATGGACACTCAGTGGGAGCAGGCAGTGGAGGGATGTATGTATCTGTGAGTAAGTAGGACTTGAGTCCAGGAAGCTGCTCAGGAGGCAGCAGGAGCGGAGAGGGAGAACACCGGATCTGTCTAGCTGGCAGAGCAGCCAGATGGGTTCTGGTGGCCAGAGCAGCCCCATGTTCAGCAAGTGTTTACATAGCATACATTAAAATGGGACTTAAAGTCACTTAAAAAAATCTCTGAATCTTGGCCCCAAATGGAACTTAAAAGATGAATTCTTACTACAGATACATTTACTTTACTTATTATTTATTTAATATAATTTATTGTTAAATTGGCTTCCATACAATACCCAGTGCTCATCCCAGCAAGTGCCCTCCCCAATGCCCATCACCCACTTTCCCTTCCCCTATCCCCCATCAGCCCTCAGTTTGTTCTCTGTATTTAAGAGTCTCATGGTTTGCTTCCCTCTGGAGTGCTGATGCATAGGGGCACATGTACCCCAATGTTTACAGCAGTGTTTTCAACAATAGCCAAATCTTGGAAAGAGCCTAAATGTCCATCAACTGATGAATGGATAAAGATGTGGTTTATATATACAGTGGAATACTACTTGGCAATGAGAAAAAATGAAATCCTGCCATCTGCAGCAATGTGGATGGATCTGGAGGGTATCATGCAAAGTGAAATAAGTCAGTCAGAGAAAGACAGATATATGTTTTCACTCGTATGTGGATCTTGAGAAACTTAACCAAAGACCATGGGAGAAGGGAAGGGAAAAAAAAATTATAAACAGATACATTACTTTAAAATGCACCTTTTTGCAGGCCATTTCAATATACTAGGTGCACTGATGATAACATCACTGCATTCCACCCTACTTAGCTGTTCTTTCAGGCTCAAGATGCTGAGAATTCTAAAGGATCTCTGCCGTCACTGAGGGACAAGACTAAAATCTCTCTTGAGAAGCCCAGAATGTCAACTGCATATGCAGCAAGATGAATCCCAGGTCTCCACCATCCCTCGAGATGGCTTTACTAAAATAGGAGGGAGGAAATATGGAGGTGGTGGGGAGAGAAGATTGCTGCTCAGATGCCTGCTTAGACTCCATCTTCCTCCTCAGCTTTGACTCCAACTTCTTGGGAGATTTCCAGAAGCATAATCACTTTTTCTCTCACAGTCCTTTATGTGGCTTCCACTCTTTGCCTAGGAAAACCATGATCTTACCAGAGGTGGTGTCTGGGCCTTGTCCTGGCAGAGAAGAACAGAGCTCTGCCTATATCTTCCACTCCGCCTCATATGGAATTGATTAACAAAGGCTTCAGGTGCTTCGACCGGTTCACACGCTGCAGTGGCAACACCCACTCACTCACCCATTCAACGGTATTCAGTGGAGCTTGTACTATGTGCCAAGCACTGTTCTAGGAACAGGGATGGAACAATGAAAAGGTATACTGGTTTCTTGCTTTCACAAAGCAGATGTCCTACTGGGGAAAGACAGATCTCATGCAACGTACCAAACATTAGAAAAGGAAAGGGCTAGATAATTTTTAAAAGGTCAAGAGGGGTGCCAGATGGCTCAGTTGGTTAAGTGACCAACTCTTGCTTTCAACTCAGGTCATGATCTCACAGTTCGTGGGATCGAGCCCCGCATTGGGCTCTGTGCTGACAGCATGGAGCCTGCTTGGGATTCTCTCTCTGCCCCTCCTCCACTCATGCCTGCTCTCTCTCAAAATAAATAAATAAACATTAAAAACAATAACATGTCAAGAATGACTGAGTGGCTACTCTACACTGGGTGCTCAGAAAAGAGTTTCCTAATGGCATTTAAGGTGAGATCTGAATGACAGGAAGCAGTGGCCAGAGGAAGAGTATCTCAGCAGAGTTACTGGCTAGTGCTAAAACCCTAGGAGAAGGGCCTTGGCAGTGGTTCCCAACAGGGGCTATTTTACTGCCCAAAAGACATTTGGCTGTGTCTGGAAGCATTTTTGGTTGTCATACTGCAGTGGGGAGTAGGTGCTTTTGCTGAAGTCTAGAGGGTAGAGGCCAGAGAGGCTTCTAAACATCCTACGGTGCACACAGAACCATGATGAGAGAAATATCCCACAATGGAGAATTTATACAGCCAAAAATGTCAATAGTGCCAAGGATGAGAAACCCACTGTTAGAAGAATAACAAAAAGGACACTGTGACCAAAGCCTAACATATCTGGGATGGAGACCTAGTATGTGAAATCTGGGGCTTGGCTGGTGCACAATCACGTAGGGTCCTGTGATCCAGAGTAAGGAGTTGATTGAGGTTCATTCTAAGTATAGCAGGTCCTGGCAGAATTTAGTAGGGACAGGAAGCGTTCTGATGTACATTTCATAAAGATGAGAGTACGGATTTATCTTCTTGGCTGCCTTCCTTCTTCCCACCTTTCCTGTCTTCTTCCCCTGCCCATTCTGTTGACTTGGGCCTTCGTTGTGCCAGGTACTAAATGATACGCTGTTACATGTTTCGTGAAGGAGTGTCTGAACTTTATTCAGACTGATAATGTCACCGAAATGACACCATTTTCTCTCCCTTTCCAAGAAGAATGCTCAATGTCATTCATTGTCATTTTGATTGCATTACTGTCTTTTGTTGAGCTCAAGTATTACCACCTGTTTTTCCTATAAACTAGCTCTTTCTCATTCCTCCTGTCAGTCTTCACCTTCGTGATTCTACGGACAACATATGAAAATAACCCTCAACTTGGCTGTGAGAATCTTTGGAATTTCAACAGCCTTTCTTGGTCATTAGCCCTCGACAAGTATAAGCTATGTAATGAGTAAATCTGAGTTGCTGTTTTTCCTTCTGAGTTTGCCCATTGCATACAGAGTTTTATCTCCCATTGTAGAACACCAAAGTGCTCAGAGCACTTTCTGTTCACTTACCCTCCTAGCTTTTCTCAGCACTGTGAGGGTGGCAGGGAAGGCTTTAGTGTCCTACTACTGAAGGGGAAGAAAGAGCTTCACTGAATAGCTGTAGAGCTAATGCACCAAGAGCAAGGACGTGAGCTTTACGTTCACTGATCTCTTCACCATGGCTCCTACACACCATCACTTTGAATATGAATCTCAGAAGGAGGAGACTCTGCTCAGGTTGTTCCTGGCCAGTAAAGACCGAGGGCATACCACACAGGCAGTGGTACCTGGATGTGGCAGTGAGTGAGAGATGATGTACATCTCTCTGTCACTCCCTTGTTTAAATAAACACACATGCACAAGCCCAGACTGTTCCCTCGCTGTCCTATCTCATCTCACTCCTCCTATAGGCATACACATTCAGAAGCCCAGAAGGGAATTAAGAAGTTGGTCAGAGTGTTTAGGGGGAGCAGATCATAAAGATGATCAAAGCTAGGAAAAGCAGTAGAGCTCAGACTGGGACTGGGGCCGGGGCTGAGGTCTGGGCTGGGAGCATCCCTGGAGATGGATAAGGTAAAAGAGAAGGAAAGGAATGCAGGGTGATACTGTGGGCAGCGCTCACAGACAAGGACTCACGGGGGAGTGTAATTCAAGGCTGACCCTACTGCTACTGGCTGGCTAATAAAGGAGCTAAAACTCACTTGGATCAGGCATACTGGGCCTGCTAATACTTGGCTCAAATTAGAGACTGAGGTCAATCAGGCAGTGTGCCTACCTTGTATGTGGTTTGCTTTTACCTCTTTATTACTGGATGTCCTTCATGTAGGTTCTTTTTATGCATTTTTCGCATTAACTGAAGCCAAAAGACCCATTGGTGCTTTTGAAAAATGAATAAACAAAAATACCTGTTTATAAAGACTGATCAAAATAACTTCTTGTGCATGTTTCAAGTCTGCAAATGCATCAACAACGTCAAATCTTGTACAAGCTTGAAAGATAAGGCAAGAACAATACCAAAGAAATGTTGGGGAGACCTGAGGACTAACCCACCCGACAGGAGCTCTTCAGAAGGAACCACTGAGTCCCAATGGAGGCAGCTCCCCGCTCTCAGACTCCAGCCACGCTGCCTCCCAGAGCCAAAAAGGTTTCTATCTTGAACACTCTTCACTCACTTCCAAATTTGGGAACATTTGTAAGTGGAACCCGAAGCAGTGGATCTGGCTTTTAAATAAAAAGTTACATTTAAATCAATCTCTGCTCTTCATAAGCTAAATACCATTTGTCAGTTTTCAGCCACCATTTGAGTTTCGCCCACACACCAGCCACAAATTCTGGGCCATAGTGAGGCTGTGGTCAGCCCAGTGTCCGGTCAGTTAGCTAAAGATAACCCGCTAACTTATTGGCTCAGAACTAAAACAGAAAGAACACAGCAGAGTAGTCCAAAAATATATATTCTCTACAAAACTTAATGTTAAGAGATGGTGTGAAAAAGACCACTTTCAAATAAACTGAAATATCCCTGATAATGTAAATGTATCCAGCGAAAAACGAAGTACATTTTTTTTCTTTTATAGCAACTGTGTTTTTCACTAGCCACTACATTTTGTTTGTGGAAGGGATCTCTTCTAAATGGAAAGAAGCAGTGTGAACCGGAAGCAGGGCGGGGACCTAGAAGCAGTGTGAACCAGAAGCAGAGCAGGGACCCAGGTGATGTGGACAGAGTAAGGCAGAGAAGTGTGCTTACTCCCTCTTGTAAGCCCGTAGAGGGTAAGTTCCTGATCACTTCAGAAAGGATACTGATTTCATTATCCCTCTGCTGTAGAAGGTCTCGTAGCTTTTTATATTCTTCCTCTTTTAACGGTTCTTGACAGTCTTGATCTTTGATTTCCAAAGAGACTGTGCTTTTTCCATGGATCTTCTTGTCATTCAATAGTTTCTGTAAGATGAAATAGGAGTTTACAGTCCATATCTCTTCCTTTTCCTTTTTTTTCCCCCCAAGAAAACCTTTTATTCAGTTTTGAGACACAGAGCGTGAGTGGGGAAGGGGCAGAGAGGGAGACACAGAATCTACAGCAGGCTCCAGGCTATCAGCACAGAGGCTGATGTGGGGTTCAAATCCACAAGGTGAGGTCATGACCTGAGGCAAAGTCAGCCACCCAATCGACTGAGCCACCCAAGCGCCCCCATCTTTTCCAAATTTCTTAGTTTCTGGACTCTTCTCCCCTTTGACAATTCCTTGCACAAATGAGGCATGCATGTCTTTTCTTGCCTCCTTGTCACTGCCATGCAGCGGCCTTAGCCCCATCTCCACCTTCTCCCTGCCTCTCCCCTCCCCTTGCTCAGCCTCTTCTCTGCCATCATATCTCTGCAACCCTAAACCCAGAAATTCCTACTGAAACATTATCTCCTCTTGAACTTCTTTCTCTTTCTCCTTAACCCCCTATTACTTGATTTACATTTTTAACAATAGCACTTATAATGTGTTACAATTTTTTTTTCCATTGATGTCTTCTTCATGACCTTCCTTATTCAATTTTGCTTTCCCAGTGCTTGGCCTATAGCAGACTCACAAGAAATGCTTACCATCATAGTGAAGAATGCCAAATCACAAGTGAGGTGGAAATAAATGTTAATGATATTCCCACTGTGTCATCATGAAAGGGTAAAATGTAAGGCAGAGAAAATCTGAGGGTTTATATGGATAAATCTAAACTGCCGGGGGAAACATGGGATGCAACTTTCTCTATATATCTTGAAAAGAAAAGGTTCTTGAACATGGAATTATCCTGCGTACAAGGTAAAGATTTCTGGGAAAGTAACTACAAGTTATTCAATGGCAGCTAAAATATAACCTCTGGAGAAGTTCAGTAATAATCCCAGCTTTGTTTGAAGATCATACCATTCTGTACATGAAAAGCTGGGTCTTATCCTAGAGCTGGTGAACTAGGCAAACTGTATTGCACTTTCAACATGGCAGACAATGGCTTCTACTAGAGGAAATGCTTAAATTTACCTTTAAATAATGGAAACAGTGATGAATTTTACGCATATCAGTGCCAACCTCTAGTCTACTTTCCGGATCTTGGTCTTCCAAAAAGGAGGTTATTAGTTTTTCCAGCCTAAAAATACATAATGTATGAGAAGCAACTATGAGCTAGAAACTTTAGAAAATTTAATGGCATTACTTGGTTGGTTAACATTCGAAGTACAGGATACTGTTCTCCTTTCTTTAAGGAAATATAGTTATCTGATTTAACTATAAAATTTAAGGGGAAAGAAACACTGACAAAGTGAAATCTGAAATGATGCAATTATTCGACTAATTTCCAATAAATTTTCATACATGGCTTTCAATTTAAGAATCATTTGATTTCTACAAAACATGCATTCCGGCCAACCAGAGTTTCCATGCCTCTATGCCTAGCTGCCACATTGCCAGAGAAAAGTAATGCAAAAGTTTTCTTTTGATTAGTTTCATTAAAGATTCATGCCACTCCACTTCAGCTGGGACCTCAGTGATGCTCCACAACCCTCTAAATCCTCCCTGGTTGATTTGTTTTTGTTTTTGTTTTTATTTAAATTCCAGTTAGTTAACCTACAGTGTAATATTAGTTTCAGGTGTACAATATAGTAATTCCTCACTTTCATACAACACCTGGTGCTCATTATGACAAGTGCACTCCTTAGTCCCCATCACTTATTTCACCCATCCCTTCAGCCCCCCACCCTCTTCTCGCAACCATCAGTTTGTTCTCTATAGTCAAGAGTCTATTTCATGGTTTGCCTCTATGTTTTTTCCCCTTTGCTTATTTGTTTTGCTTCTTAAATTCCACATGAGTAAAATCATATGGTATCTGCCTTTTTCTGACTGACTTATTTCACATAGCATTATAGTCTATAGCTCCATCCATGTCATTGCAAATGGCAAGATTTCATTCTTTTGTATGGCTGAATAATATTCTTTTCTAAAAAATGTTTTTAATGTTTATTTTTGAGAGAGACAGACAGACAGACAGACAGACACATATAACTTGAGCAGGGGAGGGATAGAGAGAAAGGGAGACAGAATCCAAAGCAGGCTGTCTGAGCTGTCAGCACAGAGCCTGACACAGGGCCCTAACCCACGAACTGCAAGATCATGACCTGAGCCAAAGTCAGATGCTTAACTGACTGAGCCACCCACGTGCCCCTGGCTGAATAATATTCTATTGTGTATATATACCACATCTTCTTTATGCATTCATCAATCGATGGACACCTGACTGTTTCCATAATTTGGCTACTATAGACAATGCTGCTATAAACATCAGGGTGCACAGCAACATACAAGAGAATGAAATTGGACCATTTTATTACATCATACACAAGAATAAATCCAAAATGGATTAAAGACCTATATGTGAGACGTGAAACCATAAAATCCTAGAAAAGAAGACAGGCAGTAACTTCTTTGACATCAGCCATAGCAACTTCTTTCTAGATATGTCTCCTGAGGCAAGGAAAACAAAAGCAAAAGTAAACTATTGGGTCTACATCAAAATAAAAAGCTTCTGCACAGTGAAGGAAACAATCAGTAAAACTAAGAGGCAATCTATGAAATGGGAGAAGATACTTGCAAATAGCATTTCTGATTAAGGGTGAGTATCCAAAATATTTGAAGGACTTAAAAAATTCGGCACCCAAAAAATGAATAACCCAGTTTAAAAATGGACAGAAGACATGAATAGACATTTTTCCAAAGAAGACATACAGATGGCCAATAGACACATGAAAAGATGCTCAACATTACTGATCATCAGGAAAATACAAATCAAAATTACAATGAGATATTGCCTCACACCTGTCAGAATAGTTAAAATCTACAACACAAGGATGTTGGCAAGGATGCAGTGAAAGAGGAACCCTCTTGCACTGTTGATGGGGATGCAAACTGGTGCAGCCACTCTGGAAAACAGTATGGAGGCTTTTCAAAAAGTTGAAAATAGAACTACCCTACAATCCAGCAATTGCCCTACAAGGTTTACCCAAAAGTTCTAATCCCTGGTTGACTTATACTCTTCACAGAGGCTGTTCCAAGTCTTTCTACAGTCCCTAAGCCTACCAAGACTGTCATTCTGTCAATGCTGTAACTTCCCATTAGACTGAGAAAGTCAAAGCTGTAAGTGGACTCTTCCGGTTTACTCTTCCTTCACCTCAGAGCATCTCTTCCTCACCACTCTGGCCCTCTTCTTTCTTTTACATATTTTGCATAGTATCCTTCCTTCTCATGGCAACTCTTGCACCCTGGGCTCTCTTTAGGCTTCTCCCTGGATTACCTCCTATTAATCACCTCCTTTCTCTTACCTCATTGTTATCTCTTCATACCGACTCTTACCCCTCTGCCTATAATGATGGTCAGATGTTTTTTCTACTCTAAAACAAAACGGAATATGAAAACAAAACTCCTCTCCTTGGAGGGACCATCCAACCACTCTATTCTGAAGTCCTAGTTTAGTTTATGCATTTTGTGTGCTTACTACAGACCCATTGCATTCCAGAGCCAGTGCACTACCTTAGCTCCCCATGAATTTATAAGCATCATGAAGCAATGTCTGGCTTTCATTCACCCCTGTGCTCCTCTCCCCGACCCTGTATCTAGAGCAGTGCATACTTGGAGTTCTCAGTACAAGTGTATATGTGCTGCCAAAGCGAGGAAAGTTCTCAGTACAAATGTGTTCATTAGTTAATGGATTCATTTCCATGGAAATTACTCTCCTCTATGTTGGGATGGAATGCTTTATAAGGAAGATGTAAGGACAACGATCAGTATCTAAGAGACTAAGTATCATAATAGAGCAGCAGCATATCTTTCTCACACTATTATGAAAATATTTGCATACCATCAGCATCTTTTTTTTACCTGTACACATTTCCCTTCTGCTGTTAGCAATCAGCCCACTCAAACTAGATGTAATGATTTCCATCTATAGCAGCTTTGGATTTCATTTTTATCTCTTCCTATAGTCTGTGACATGTGACAGCTGATATTTACAGGTGTGAGATAATTCATATTATAATTTTTATGGATTTTCTTCAGGTGGAGGAATTCTTGTCATTTGCATTATTTGCTGATTGACATCATGTTTCTTTGTAGAATGAGCTTCAAACCACCAGACACAGAGATTCATTTCTGATACAAAGATTTTTATGGCTTTTTATATAAAATATTATAAAAATACATGTTTATGAGAACAATTCCAAACAATGCAGATATGAATAAAGTAAATGTGCCTCTCTGTTCCCCTCTCCCCCACACCCTGCCATTATTCTCAGCCTTCTTTATTCACTCTTAATACCTTGAGAAATCTACTGCTAACAGTTGCAATATGTTCATCTAGCTCTTAACCAAGGGGTCTACCTATACCCATGCGTTTACAGATTTTGTGTTGGTTTTTATAACATAGAGATCATGTTCTGAATAGTATTCTGCACCATGATTTTTCTAAACAATTTATCACAGATAATCTTCTATTTCACTTCATTTTTGTACTCATTTCATAGCATTTTTAATGCATTTATATATTTCATTTTAATAGCTATATAATATTCCATAGCATGGGTGTGCTGATCCTCTCAAGATGAACATTGACTCGACATATTGATAGTTGCTACTTTCCTCTCCTCTGTAACCTATGAGGAGGGTTGGATTTATAATTCCCACCTAATGCGGCTTCAAACAATAGCAAAGTTTACCTACTTGTGTTTTCCCTGAACACTTTTCTCAGAAATTCTGGAGCTCTTAAAATCCCTATTAGTTCTAGGATATACTCATTCTTTAGAGTAAAAAACATTTTGTTATTTTCAGTATATGTAAAAAAATTTTTTATAGTTTATTTACTTTTGAGACAGAGAGAGACATGGCATGAGTTGGGGAGGAGCAGAGAGAGAGGGAGATTCAGAATCTGCAATAGGCTCCAGGCTCTGAGCTGCCAGCACAGAACCCGACTCGGGGCTCAAACCCAAGAACCGCGAGATCATGACCTGAGCCAAAGTCAGACGCTTAACCAACTGAGCCACCCAGGTGCCCCAATATACATAAAAATTTTAACAGACACTTTTAGGTTAGTAGCAATGACTCATCCATTCTTCCTTTTGGCGTTTTCTTTAGAAGACAATTTCTTCTGCATAGTTTGTTCAGAAAGCATATATTCTAGGAAACATTCCATGAAGGAGGGCTGAAGTGGAATCCTAGTCCACAAGAAAGCACTATAAAATACAAGCCTGATGATTAGCTGAGTGACCACACATGGTCACTCAATCCCACTGGGATTTGGCTATTCCATCAAGACTCATGTCCTGAAAAATAATAGTATAGGATTACAAATAGGACCAGGAACTTCTGATTAAATGAAAGAACTGGGTTGCTTTACCCTTTCTAGTGCAAAACTCAATCTGGTACAAAATTAAGAATAAAGATCAGGCCTTTTGATATGCAACTTTTTTCTCAGTGCTTCAGACCACAGAGTCTCTTTAGATAAGAAAAATGCCTTGGCTTTCCTTCATACATTTGATTTATTGTAGAATTTGTTTTCTTATCAACCAAGGACTTGGTCTAACAATTACAATGCAAAAAAAAAAATGCCTAATTCAAATGTTTCTAATGCACTCTTATACTAGTTAACAGTAAACAATTGACCCCCAAATTCCCTGCATTTTCCTATCTCCCAAAATAGTTCCCAAGTTCATACCTAGTCACTGCTCCCACTGAGGGGTCTCCCAGATGCCAGAACCCTGCGGGATAGTGAAGAACTGTTTGCAGAAAAGGCTCTCCAACGAGGTCAAATGAGTACAATGAAGTCTGTTCTTTAGGAAAAGCCCAAGTAAATAAAAAAAAAAATACTACTCTCTCTCAAAAGTCTGGTCCTTGAGATTCAAAGTGTGAACAGTTAGTCAACTTAAAGGCATCACCTGGGAACCTCTTAGAAATGCAGAGTCATAGGCCCCATGCAAGACCTACTGAACCAGAACTCACCCCCCATACCAAACTTGCTGAATCTGCACTTCAGCAATGTTCCTAGGTCATTTACATGTACATTAATATTTCAGAAGCATTACAATGAGGCAATCTATTGTTGAAAGT